ACACACACACACACACACACACACACACACACAATGGTCCACGAAACATTCTCCTTTCCTTCTGAAGGTTTTGTGATGCATTGTTATCATTAACCAGTCTTTCACTACTAAACTTAAATGACCAATTGGGAGAAACAGTTCTGAGACCGGTCTTCTGATTAAGACTGGGGTGATAAGTGTCAGGGATAATATTCACTTAGCCTTCTGAGCTTTCTGGGCAGATTTGGTGACCTTGCCAGCTCCAGCAGCCTTCTTGTCCACAGCTTTGATGACACCCACAGCAACTGTCTGTCTCATATCATGAATAGTGAAACAACCCAGAGGTGGGTAGTTAGAGAAGTTCTCGACACACAGGGGCTTGCCTGGAACCATGTCAACAATGGCAACATCACCAGATTTCAAGGAGTCACTATTTTTTTTTCTTTTTTTTGTGGAACCGGGGATTGAACTCAGGCCCTTGAACTTGCCAGGCAAGCTCTTATTCTACTGAGCTATCTCCCCAGCCCCTATCACCAGATTTCAAAAACTTGGGCCCATCTTCCAGCTTCTTACTAGACTATCAATCAATCTTTTCTTTCAGCTCAGCAAACTTGCAAGCAGTGTAAGCTGTGTGACAATCCAGGACAGGGGCATAGCCAGCACTGATCTGGCCGGGATGGTTCAGGACAATCACCTGAGCAGTGAAACCAGCTGTTTCCATTGGTGGGTCACTTTTGCTGTCACTGGCCACACTGCCATGCCGGACATCTTTGACAGACACATTCTTGATGTTGAAGCCCACATTGTCCCCAGGAAGAGCATCACTCAAAGCTTCATGGTGCATTTCAACAGACTTGACTTCAGTTGTGACATTGACTGGAGCAAAGGTGACCACCATGCCAGGTTTGAACACCAGTCTCCACTCACCCCACAGGGACAGTGCCAATACCACTGATTTTGTAGACATCCTGGCGCGGCAGCTGCAAAGGCTTATCAGTTGGGCGAGTGGGTGGGAGGATGCAATCCAAAGCTTCAAGCAGTATGGTTCCACTGACTTTGCCATCTTTATGAATGAACTTCCATCCTTTGAACCAAGGTATGTTAGTACTTGGCTCCAGCATGTTGTCACCCTTCCAACCAGACATTGGCACAAAAGCCACGGTGTCAGGGTTGAAGCCAATTTTCTTAATGTAGGTGCTTACTTCCTTAACAATTTCCTCATATCTCTTCTGGCTGTAGCGTGGCTCCGTGGAATCCTTTTTGTTAACTCCAACAATTAGTTGTTTCCCATCCAGTGTGTAAGCCAGAAGGGCATGCTCACAGGTCTGCCTGTTCTTGGGGATACCAGCTTTGAATTCACCAAGCCTAGCAGCAACAATCAGGACAGCACAGTCAGCCGGCAATGTGCCTGTAATCATGTGTTTTGATGAAGTCTTTGTGTCCAGGGGCATCAGTGATGGTCACATAATACTTGCTGGTCTCAAATTTCCACAGGGAGATGTCAATGGTGATACCACGCTCACGCTCAGCTTTCAGCTTGTCCAGCACCCAGGCTTACTTGAGAGAATCCTTCCCCATCTCAGCAGCCTCTTTCTCAAATTTTTCGTTGGTTCTTTTGTCGATGCCACTGCATTTATAAATCAGATGGCTGGTGGTGGTAGACTTGCTGGAGTCCATGTGTCTGATGATGATGATTTTTTTTTTTTTTTTTTTGCGGGACCAGGGGTTGAACTCAGAATCTTGTGCTTGCCAGGCAAGCACTTTTTCTACTGAGCTATCTCCCTGGCCCCAAAGACAACGATATTAATGTGAGTTTTTTCCTTTCCCGTGTTGGCTTGGATTTAGTGGTGGTTTTCACTACACCTGTGCTCTCATAGCAAACCTGTTGCTAAAATGCTGGATGCTATTTAAAGTGCATTGCTTTCTTTATTTGGAGGTATTTGATTACTATGGTGTATACATGCTATGTTTCATGTTGATTTTTGCATCATGAAGTTTTACTGGATTGTTGATCAATTCTAACAGCTTTTCAATGGAATCATTAGGATTTTCACTTACAGCCTGAGCTTTTGATCATCTTTCTGGAAAAAAAAAAACAATTTCTTTCTTTTCAACTTGGAAAACTTTTCTTACTTTTTCATGCCTAATTGCTTCAGTTAGAGGTTCTAATACTATATTAAACAGAAGTCGTAAGGATGGACATCCTGGTCCTATTACTGATCTCAAATTAATAACCCAGCTTTTTACCATTAAGTATAATGTTAGCTGTGAGATTGATAAATGGCATTTATCATATCCAGTTACACCCCTTCTATAGCTAATTTGGTGAGTTTTTATTATGAAAGGATGTGGAATTCTGAAAAATAACTTTCCTGCATCTATTGAAATGGCCATATTATTTTTATTTTCCATCCTGTTAATGGTGGCATATCACATGTGTTGATTTGCATATATTGAACTATCCTCACATTTCAGGGATCAATACTATTTGACTACAAGGTATGGTCTACTTGTGTGCTGTTGAATTTTGTTTGCTAGCATTCTGTATAGAATTTCTGTATCTATTTCCATCTGGGATATTGTCCTATAATTTTCTTTTGATATAATGTTCTCATCTTGTTTTGATGTCAGGCTAATGTGGAACTCACAAAAATGTTTGAAAATGTACCTCACTCTTCAGTTTTTGAGAAAACTTTGTGAAGTATTAGTTCTTCCTTACATGTTTGACAGAATTTGTCAGGGAAGTCACCAGGTCCTGAACTTCTCTCTGTTGGGAGTTTGTGATCATTGATTAAATTACCTAGCTTATTTGTATGTTCAGATGTTTCTTTTTTCTCATGATTCAGTCTTGGTAAGTAAATGGAATTTTTCCATTTACTGAATTATTCAGTTTGGTAGGGTGTAATTATTCATAGCGTTTTCTTATGATCTATCATATTTAGTGAAATTAGTTGTACTGCCCCATTCTCACTTATAATTTCAAGCCTTCCTTTTTTTCATATTCAACTACAATTTTGTGGTTTATCTTTAAAAAAGCAAGTCTTAGATCCAGATATGGTGGCTCAAGCCTGTAATCCCAGCATTTATGAGGATGAGGCAGGAGAACAGCCATGAGTTTGAGGCCAGCCTGGACTACATAGCAAGTCTTATTTCAGAAACCCAAAAAACAACCAACCAACCAAAAAAAAAAAAAAAAAAGAAACAAACAAGCAAAAAGACCAATTCTTAGTTTCATTTTCCTTTTCTATCTTTGTAGTCTCTATTTCTGCTCTTATATTTATTACTTGTTTCCTTCTTTAAGCCTAGTTTGTTCTTCTTTAGTTCCTTGAGCTATATGGATTATTTGCATGTTTCCATCTTTCTTAAGATAGATCTTTTCATTATGATTATTATTTTATGTATTTTTCCAGGGTCTTACTAGGCAGATGGGACTCATATAGCTGGGATTATAGGCATGCGCCACTGTGCCTGGACTCAGCATGCCTGGGGGAGGGGCTGGCGTGGCATGTGATAAGGTAGATCTTTATCACTATAAACTTCCCTCTTAATATTTCTTTTTCCACATCTGCTAAGTTTTGGTACGTTGTACTTCAATATTCATTTGTGTCAAGATATTTTTTTATTTGTATTTTGATTTTTTGACCAACTGTTTGTTTACGTTTATGTTGTTTAATTTCAACAGTGTTATTAATTTTATAGTATTTCTCCTGTTTTTTGTTTGTTTTGTTTTGTTTTGTTTTCAGAACTGGGGATTGAACTCAGGCCCTTGCACTGCCAGGCAAGTGCTTATTCTACTGAGCTTTTCTGTTATTGATACCTAGTTTTATACAATGTGGCTGGAAAAGATCCTTGATATCATATTTAAATCTTCTTGAACTTTTAAAGATTTGTTTTGTCTAATACATCACCTGTATTAGACACTGTTCGATGTGCACTTGGAAAGACTGTATATTCTGCTGTTGCGTAAGATACTGTGTTTGCTGTTGTTTAAACCCACTCTTTCTTTACTGATTTTATCTATGGGTAATCTATCTATTGTTAAAAGTAGAACAGTACAGTTCTCTGCTATTATTGGATTGCCGATTCTCTCTTCAGCTCTCTGAATATTTGCCTTTCATATTTAGGTGCCCTGAAGTTGGATATATGTATTTATAATTGTTATTTATTTGTGATCAGTTGACTACCATCATTATATAGTGACCTCCTTTTGTCTCTTATGACAGGTTCTGACTTCTTTTTTTGGGTAATGTACTACCACTGCTCTGCTTCAGTTGCCATTTTTATGGAGTCTATTTTCCCATCCTTTCAGATTATGTATGGCTTCAGATTGTGTATGTCCTTAAGGCTACAATAAATTTCTTGCAGCTAGTAGAATTTTGTTGGATATTTTTTAAAAAATCTATTGAGTCACCACATGTTTTGATTGAAGAATTTAATATTTACATTTAATTATTGAATGTAAGAATGTACCATTGACATTATACCATTTTCTGGTCATTTTGCAGAATTTTTTAAAATTATTTTTTCTTGTCATATCTTCCTTTGTGATTTCATCTTTTTTATAGTAGTATGTTTGCTGACTTTATATTTTGGGTATTTATTATAGGTTTTTGTCTTGCAGTTACCATGTTCCTTATATAAAATATCTTAGAGTTATTTTAATAGAGTTTAATAATTAGAATCTACTTTAAGCCGATAATTTAAATTTTAAACTTAAATTAGACTATACATGAAACTCTGTATTTTAATTTTCTTCTCACATTTTGTTAATGATGTAAAAATTTATATCTTTTTTGTGTTATATATTCATAGCAAATTATTATAGCTGTGATTATTTTTAATATGTTTGTCTTTTAAGTTAAAATGATTTATCAGTCACAATTATAGTAACTGAGTATCCTGAATTTATCAATGCCTTTCCTTTTATAGTGACTTCTATATTTTCATGAAAGTAGTTCAGCATCTGTTGTCATATTTTTGGTTCATATCTAGATGTCTCCCAACAACTCATGCAGCCATAGGTGTGGTTTATTCAGAGGTGGCTGGATCTAGGGTGTGTGATGCTGGGATTGATTCATGGTGCTCTGCTAGGCTCAAGGGTGTTAGGAATAAGGGTGTGAGTGCTGTGTGCCCTAGGTAGCCTGGACAAGATATAAGGGACAGAAAGAGCTGTGGTTGCCCTCTGTTGCTCTGCTACCCTCTGCCCACCATGAACTGTTTTTCCTCTGTGATGCCTGTCTGCCTTGGCACCCTGCCTTGGAGTCAGCTGATTACAGACTGAAATCTCTACAAACTGTGAGCTAAACAAGACTTTCCTTTTGTAACTTTGGGTGTCAGACATTTTGACTCAGCAAAGAGAGAAAGGTATTAAGGTGGCATCTTCTTATTTCAACTTGAAGATGGTTAGCATTTGTTATAAAACAGGTCTCATGACCAGCAGGTCCCACAGCTTTGTTTGTCTTGAAAAATCCTTATCTGTCCTCCATTTCTGAAGAGCAGCCTCGGAGGTTGGCATACTATTGTATTCTTGTGTGGAAGATATTTTTTTCTATTAGAAATCTGAATATTTTATTCTCTTTGTCTCTTAGTTGAAAGTCCTCTGCTGAGAAATCTCTTATGGTCTTATGGAAGTTGCTTAAAATGTAATAGCATTTTTTGTTTGTTTTTGTACTTTCAACATGAACTCTTTGATTCTGAGAATTTCACTATGATGTTACAAAGAGCTCTTTAAACTTAATACCTACACAGGAGGTTCTAGAATGCTTCATGTATCTACATGCTCATTTCTATCTCCAGGTTCTGGAATTTTTTAAATTTTAATTTTGTTGTTTTTTGACGCAGGATCTTGCTATATAGCTCAGGCTGGCCCTGAACTCACTATGTTGTCCAGGACAGCCTCAAAGTCATAGCTCTCCTCCTGCCTCAGATTTTCAAGTGCTGGGATTGCAGGTGTGTGCCACCATGCTCAGCTTCTTGCTTATTTAAGTCAGATTTCCACCTCTCTTTCTTCATTCTGGGCATGCCATACTATGATATTGGTTTGGATAATACTGACTCATAACTATTGGACACTTCCTTAACTGTTTTTTGCTGGCTCTTTCCTTTGACCAAGTTTGATGTTGACATCTCTGTGTTTTTTTTTTTTTTTTTTTTTGTCAATCATTGTGTTCTTTAGCTCTGGTGTTTGGTTCTTTCTTAGGCTTTTTTTTTTCTCGAGGAACCAGGGATTGAACTCAGGCCTTTGCGCTTGCCAGGGAAGCGCTTATTCCACTGAGCCATCTCCCCAGCCCCTTTCTTAGGCTTTTCTCTATCGACTTTTACTATTTCATTTTGTGCATTTACTGCTCCTTTGTTTTGGATGTCTATGCTCTCTTGTAGTTCACCAACTTATTCTATGGTAATTGTTTTCAATTATGTCTTTTTATTGCTAAGCTGTAAAAGCTCTTTATATGTCATAGATACATCTTTGAAGGGTTTATGATTTCCAAATATCTTTTTCTATTTATGGATTTTTTATTTTTTTTTTACTTTCTTGACAATGTACTCTGATAAATGAATGTTTTCAATTTTTTGAAGCTAAATTTATATACTTGGATTTTGTATTAACACAACTTTAGCTCATATTTTTTAAGTTGCTTAGGAGTAAAAGGTAGGGGAAGGCAGTGCCTTAATTCTACCCTAAGCAAAGAGAAGCACCAACCATAGCACCAGTCACGAGCGGCTCTTGCTCAACATTTTCAAAGGTGGCTCTCTTATGAGTTACATTGTGTCCTCAAAATGATGTGTCAATGTTGAAACCCCTGGTCCCTGTGACTGTGACAGCCAAGTCAAGATGAGGTCTCTCAGGTTGGCCTTAGTTCTTTTGTACTGGGGAGAGAGCCCAGGACCTTGAGCTTGCCAGGCAGGAACCTATGCTGCTGAGCTAGCTCCTCAGGCCTCAGGTGGGCCTTAATTTAACATGTCTGATTTCTGTATAAAACAGAGGACTCTGGAGAGAAACACAGGGGAGGTGGGGGGAGAGACAGACAGACAGACAGACAGACAGGCCAACCAAGGCAAGACATTGACAAAGAAGGTCGTGTGGAGACAGAGATAGAAGCTGTGGTTATGCTGCCACATGCTAAGGAAGACCTGTGGCTACCAGAGGTGGAGGAGCAAGGAAGACTCCTTTCCTTGATTTTGGACTTCTGGTCTCCAGAACAGACTAGAAGCTAACATTTGTGTTGGTTTAAGTCGTGCACTTTGTGATGAAGATCTGTTGTCTCAGTGACTCCGTGTCTTCCTTTGCTTGCAGCAGCATCTATCCCAAATCAGGGTTGTTTCTGTGTTTTGACTCCATCCTAAACTGCAGTAGTTTCTATCTGGAATGTGCCTATGTGTTAGAGCCTTCATGGCCAGCCTGTGGGGCTACTGTAAGATGGTGAGACCTTTCAGAGGTGGACAATAGTGGAAGGGAGTTAGATCGTGTGGGCTTGGCCTTCAATGAATTACGAGGATTCCAATCTCTTCCTGCCCCTCTGCTTCCTGGCTGCCATGAGGTCCATGGGGCCCCTTCACTTTGCTTTTCTACTGTGACATACACTGCCTCTGTAGGCACAAAGAAGTGTGGCCAGGGAGCATGGATGAGTCCTTAAAAGCCATGAACCAACATAAACCCCTCTTCCCTTTCAATTACCTCACTTATTTTGTCCACAGTAATGAAAAGTTGCCCTGATTTCTAGCAAACACAAAAATTTGTTCCCTCACTTTGTCATTCTTTTGTTCATTGCAGTCAGGGGTTAAAACCTAACTCCAGCAAGAGGCTAGCTGTCGTTTCTGAGATGTGACTAGAAGTCAATATTCCTGTCCCAAACTCGTGCAATGCGAGAGGTTGCTTTTCACTCACCCTTGATTACAACTGTACTTAATCTCAGATCCAAATGTGATGTCCGAGACTACAGTTACCATGCCATTCACAGGGTCAGAAGGTGTTTTACATGGCTTACCTATGGGAAAGAAACAGAATTTTAGAACTATGTTGAAATTACAGCACATGGAGTGCCAATCTGACTGTAGATCATGGATTTGTATTCATGGATTTTGCCACTGTGAGGAAACTCACTAGAGTGCTTCGGGATCTGCCACTGTGTAGGTGCCAGCTTCAGAAGGAGACCCCTTAAATTCTTTCTCATCCCCACCTGTGACTTCTAGAAGCACATATAGTTCATTTATTAGTAAAGTGCTATACTTTAATGTAAAACCAGGGTAATTTGCTGGACTCAAAGCCTGGAATTTTCTTCTTTTAGTTACTACATTTCCTTCTGAATGATATCACTTAGTTTCAGTGAAAATTGGACATCACCCTCAAATGAGTGGAGACTTTTCCTCCATCAGCCTTGTGATGGTTATTTCTTATAAAACTAAGAGTGGAGGTGCCAGGAACTCGAAGTAGATACTAGGATATGATGTACAAGAATACTTTACACGTAATGTAATATGGGCAAAATTATAAAGTTGGTTCTAAAATTTGGGCCAATTGTGTCACCTTACAAATGTCTAATGGATGGGGAGGAGTTTCTGGTTCAGCGGTACTCACGATTACACACATCCTTGGCACTTGTCCAGACTGAATTATTCTGGCATGTGATCGAGAACTTCTTCTTGAAATAACCTGGACGGCATTCGTACTTCAAAGATGTCCCAATAGGAAACTCAGACTCCTCAAATGGATCTGTAGGCATGGCAGATGCAAAGTATTCCGGGACTCCACACTGACCTAGAGATTGAGACCGTGGTGTCATGCGGGTTAAAAGAGAAACCTCCAACCAATTTCCCCTTTCTCTCCATTATATTTTATAGATGTGATCAAAGAAGAAAAAGAACTTGTTTTATAATGGCAAGAGGGCCTATCTCCTTAGTAGGTATGTGGAAAATGAGCTTTAAGGTTTTTAAAACTGAGGATCTAGCCACTAAAACAAGGCCTTGCTATATTGAAGGCAATTAGGCTGAGTACATAGTCTTTCTCCAAAAAGGCAATTCCAACTGATAGCTTCAAATTTAGGCAGAGAGTGCCTGCCCTTCGGCATCATCTACCCCACCCTTTGTCCTCCTTTGTGTAACAGGATACACTTTCATATTTCTCCACCTACCTTTACTCCTGGCGATCCTCCCCCTTTCAAAGGGCCTATAAGCCTTCTCTCTGGCCTTCAGTAGCCATTTGCATTGTTCTAAGTCTGTTGCCAAGGTGAGAACAGAAGAGACTCAACAACTAACTGTATTTCATCTTACGAAAGAATCTATTTTCTGAAGTATGTTATGAATTAGATGTTAGACATAGCTGCCTTCCCTTAAGGGATGGCATGTTTAGTTTAAAATAACAAAAAGGCCACTTGGAGTCAAATGATATTTAATCAATAAGAAATACCTGTTGGAAAATATAATTTTGGTTTAGTTTGGACATCTCTTTTGTTGCTGTTGTTATTACTTCTTTTCCTCCTTACACTTCTTACTAATTTAGATTATAAAGAGTAGATTGAAGCCAGGTATTACTTACATTAGTGAGCAAAGAAGTAACTATCCCATGTTGTTGGCTCTGCATTTATTTTTATTTTATCTTTACTGGTATTTTCTTTGCATGTATTTACTATTCTTTTAAAAATATATTTCTTGAAATGATTACTGACATTTAAAACTTCTCAGTTTGTGACAGCCTCTAAAATACCACACAAGCCCATTATTTTTATTCTAAGTGTACAATTCTACAAGCTTCAATGTGTCGTATTTTTCCATTCAAAATATTTTGTAATTGCTATTGGGATTTCTTGGTGACCCATATTTTGTTTTAGTAGCCGTTTTGCAGAATTTACAAACGCTTGAGGAATTGTAAAATCATATATGCATTAGTTGTTTCTGAAACTGTCTGAATTGGGTAAGACTCCTGTTCCACGACTTAGCATACGGCCAATGGTGGCAACTGTATTGGGCATATGTGCAAAACACGCATGCAGTGTAGTAATAAACAGTGGCTGTATGTCTGTGAGTTTCAGATCTGTTCATTGCATTTATACAAAATCATCTAGATATTTCCTGGGCAAACTTATCCTACCAGATGCTGGAAGAATTGTGCCAAAAAATAAATAAATAAATAAAATAAAAGAATTGTGCTACAATGTTTCATTTTATTGTACATTTATCTACTCCTAATTCTGTCCATCATTTATTTTATATACTTTGATGTATCGTTATATTGTGAAATTTTAAATTCTCATATTTTGTGGAAGATCAATTCTTTATCATAATAAAATGTCTTTACTTCCAGGAATAAACCTTACCTCAAATTAGACTTTGTCTAATTCATGAGGAAAATAAAAATCAAATAACAAATAGTCTATAATAGCAGTGGGTTTTCTGTAAGACAGACAATGTCAGAAGTTGTTGACTTGAGCCATTTACAGTTCAGCATATTAATATGGCTTTATGTTTATACCTCGTGTTTATACTTTTCTACTGGATGATTAAGATCAAGATAAAGCAAGACATATATAACAAGAAATATAACTTTTGTATCTGACAAGGTCAGTCAAAATCCCCTCAGGATTTACCCTGAAACCCTCTACTGCAGTTTGTAGCTCCTTTGTCAGTGTCAGCCATGTGGATAAGTCATAGCAATTGCTTGACCAATTTGCTCTCTGTGAAAGCCTGAGAGAATGTCTTCCCTCCATGTGACTCTCCTTAGACACACTCTACATCAGTGATCACTTTCCTCTGTGGCCCCACAATCGCCTTAATCAGAAAATTTGGGAAATAACTGAGTTACATGATGTTACAGTACAGGTTCTCCTATTTCCTAAGTCCTCACTGACCTTGAAAGGCTGGGGCCAAAATGTTGGCTGTCCTTGTAGCCCTTCTTTCTCTCTGATTTTTTGGTCTGCAAATGTAAGTTGTTAACCCTCCAGAAGAGAATCTTAATGATACTATTGCCCTACAACATAGGCAGTTGAGCTTAACATCACTGTATGAATATCAAACGCCTTAGACATAACATGGAAAAGGTATTTTCCAACAATCATTGATATGCTAGAATTTAAATCCCTATTGAATGTGAAAAAATAGAAAATTAAAAAAAATAAACAATTACACATTTTTACACAGAAATTTACAAATCTAACCATATACAGCATTAGCAGCAGGACAGTCCTATGACATTTTTTCCTTGTCTCTTGTTTTCTTTCCTTCTTTTTCCTTTTTTTTTTTTTTGTACCAGGGATTGAACTCAGGACCCTGAACTTGCCAGGCAAGTATTTATTCTACTGAGCTATCTCCCTGGCCCTTCTTTTTTTTTTCTTTTTTTACCTTTTTTTTTAAAAAAAAAAAAAAAAACACACCTAAACATTTACTTGAGAGAGAACATAGCAGTAATTGATATGACATTAGAAGCAGTATGCATTTAGAAGACCAGAATGATAGTCATTCCAAGCATGGCCTTAGTCTTACACATTGCTATTCTTGGTGCAGTTGCTTAGTTCACATTTTACATGTATTTTAAACTGCCACTAGTGGCACTCAATGTAGATACTTCAAGCTATTTGTTGGTCTCCAGTTATTTGCCACTAGCCTGGACTCTAATAGCAATGCACCCCTGTCCTCTTCCCAGCTAGGCTCTAATAAAATTTAAGTAGAAAGGTGTGATAGTTTAAGTAGTTTTGTAAAAGCCACTGAATGACAAAACAGTTCCTGTGAAAGCCACGTGTTAAGTAGTACACAACCACACAGTGAGAAGCAGTTCTTGTGGTTACCCCTTTGCCTTTTCTCTAGTGGACATAGGAGTGAATATTTATTAATTTCTTTTGTGTATTTTAGTACAGGGTCTACAGGGTCTTACTACGTAGATCAGACTCATAGTGATTCTCCTGTTCTCAGCCTCCCAAGCACTGGGATTACAGGTGTGTGCCACCACGCTCAGTCTCAATTGCCATCTCAGCCTGCCCTAGGGGCGGGGCCAGCACGGCATGCCGGGATTGAACCCCAGCCACTGGGCTCTGCTTAAGCAGGCGGTTTAGTCTGCTGAGCTATTTGGCCAGCCACAGGAGTGAATAGAATGCTGGCTTTTATCTTAAGTCAGCATCAAATGACGCTTGTCCATTGAAGCTGGCCAAGAGAAAGGATTCTGTATGGAACTGCTGATGCCAAAAGTGTTGGGGAGAGGGGCTGAATGCTACAACAAAGTTCCTGGTGGAGGCTGGAGGGAGCCTAAAGCAACACAGCACACACATGAACCATTCCCAGAATGATATTTCTTTCCTTTAATCATCTAAACTTACTACCTGTGTTGTGGTATATGAATGGCATATAAGATAATAACAAATGTGAGTTTGGGAAGTATCTAAATGAAAAGGTGCATATGAGTCTTCAACAGAGAAACCCTGGTGTAGTTTTCTTTTCCTCCTTTAATTAATTAATTAATTAATTAATTGTTTATTTGATACATGGTCTCGCTATGCAGCTCGGACTTGCAGTGATCCTCCTCCTTTATAACCAATCCCTTAAATTATGGCTATTTCTTTTTGTTGGCTGGATCAGCCCCCTGAGGGCAGGGCTGGTGTGGCATGTGCTGGGGATCAAACTTCGGTCCCCTGTGCCTGCCTAAGCAGGTGCTTAAACTGCTGAGCTATCTTGCCAGCCCCTATTTCCCCTATTTCTTCTTTCTTTCTTTCTTTCTTTCTTTCTTTCTTTCTTTCTTTCTTTCTTTTTTCTTTTTTGGCAGAACCAGGGATTGAAATCAGGCCCTTGCGCTTGCCAGGGAAGCACTTATTCTACTGAGCCATCTCCCTGGCACCCCTACGGCTATTTCTTATGATAAGTACTTAACATACATTCCATAAACTTTAGGGTTGCTATAATTTTTAAAACCTTTTTATACCTTTATTGAGACATATTACATATGATGATAAATATTTTAAGTGAAAATAGGTTCTCTTGACATATATTTGTCCATTAAACTATTGCCAAAATCAAGACAACAAGCCACTCCCTCTCATGTGCCACTCTACCAAGTTCCTTCCTGCCCCTTTGGTAATTTTTCTACTTTCTTCTCTAGGCCATTTCACCTGATTTTCTAGCTATGGATTGAATTAAATTTCTAGAATTTCTCATAAAGGGTATCATTCAGTTACTTTTAAAAAGCTGTCTTTCATACAGTAATAAATTATTTTGAGACTGGTTAAGATTGTTGCAATATAAAAATAATTTCTTTTTGTTGCCAAGAAATATTCAGTTATATGGATAAATATACCTTCATTTATTTTGTCCTTTCACCTACTGAAGGTCATTTCAATCATTTTCAGTTGTTGCCTAATAGCAAACAAACAAAAAGCAAATAAAAACTGCTACGGAAATTAACAGAAAAGTCTTTGTGTAGACGTAGGATTTCATTTCTTTTACATAAAAATGTAGGAATAAAATACTAAATCATTGTTGCCAAAATCCAGAAGATCATCAGTACCTATCCAGAACCTCTATCCCAATAAGATGGAAAACACAGAAGAAATGGACAGATTCCTAGACACATATGAATTACCAAAGCTGAGGCAAGAAGATATAAAGAGTCTAAGTAAAGCAGTATCAGTCAATAGAATTAAAGAAGCAATTAGAAACTCCCCAACAAAGGAAAGGCAGGCTCTGACAGACTCACTGCTGAATTCCACAAAACAATTTGGTGTTTTGTAGAATTACCGATATTACTAATGTTAGAATTACTCATATTACTAATGCTGCTAA